ATAATAAATAAATAAATAAATAAATAAATAAATAAATAAATAAAATAACAGGTTTCCCTAAAAAAAATAAAATAAAATAAAATAAAAATCTGTAATAAACTTCAAAAAAATATATATGATTGGTATGGTTTTGTAGATTTGCTTAAAAGACACTTTCTAGACTTAGTTTTTCAAAACTCAATTTCAAGAATTAGCTGTATCCCTAAATTAACTCAGATTGGTGCTGGACATCAGGAATCTGACCACGGTCCATTGACCTCACATAAGTGCTAGAAGACCATAGATATCCTGTTTGGTTTGCCCAGAATCCTTGCCTTGTCAGCCTTTATTCTCAGTGTTTTCAAATGTTCCAGCATGTTGGGTCTTTTCGCCACCTAGTGTTCAATTGTGGTTTATTCACACATGCTGTTGCAACTATGTTCTTCCTGTAACAGTTCTGATTAATTGATAGGTGATGACCTTAAAACATTTCTCTTGACTGTGATTTTATCTCTTGTTTTGTATTTAAATATACACTTAAATAAAAGTGATAGTAAAATTCATAGTATCTGTCACAGTGGGAAAATGGAAGGTGTGTTCTATAGTTTAGATAACTAACAAATGACTGCAGTTGGAATTACTGTTTGATTGGAGTCCAGAAGAGTGTGGCCCTCACAGCATCCTTTATTCTGAGAGGAGGAGCTAAAGGCTACATGAAGTCCATTGCTCTCACCTACCTCCTAAGGAAACTGAAACATAGCTTCTTTAAGGCAAGAGGTGATTGCTTCTGCTGTGGCCATGATGAATAATTTTTAGGAAGAAATATTGGTTATATCTTTTGATAAAAATAGTGGGAATCTTGGCTATTCTTCATGCTTCTATTATTAACCAGCATCTTCTTGCTCCTCTTCTAAACTTAGTCCCATAAGAAATCCAGTGAGCTGGATTTGGTCCCAATTTTTAGATGGAGGACGGGTATATTTCCTTGTGTTATTTGAAGTACTTTTAAGGTAATTTCTGGTTGACAAGAACTAGAAGCATAACTTATTCTGTATTTTAGTTCTCTATACCAAAAGTATCCATTAAGTGTTATTTGGTTAGTATTTATCAGTTATGTTATTTTAATACATAAGGACTTCCCTCACTTTTAATTCTTCTGTCACTGTCAAAAATGTATGTTTGGTCTAAAATGTTTACCACTAAATTTTATCAAATTTACCTTAGGCAATATTGATATCACAATAAAGAGAATCATATTTGAGAGCAACTGAAGTTTACTCTTTACCTGGATTCTAGAATAAATATGTAATCACCATTTATCAATTTTATAAGAGAGATATTTTTAGAATAAAAGGAAAGTGGTAAATTTTATATGACAACCTGGAGAATCTTTATATTTTAGTTTTATTTTTTGAGAGAGAAAGAGAGATAAATTAGATAGAAAGAAAGATAGATGATAGATAGATAGATAGATAGATAGATAGATAGATAGATAGATAGATAATAGATAGATAAAAAGAGAGAGAAACATCAATTTGTTGTTTCACTTATTTATGAATTCATTTGTTGATTCTTGTATGTGCCCTGACCGGGGATCGAATCCGCAACTTGGTGTATCGGGACAAGGCTTAACCAACTGAACTACCCAGCCAGGGCCCTCCATATTTTTATTAACTAGTAGAAATGGTAAACCTTAATAACAGAGGGGGGGAAATAGCGTCCATAATAAATAACAGTAACATTCTCTCTGAACTTTCAGTTTAAAATTCTGTGAACCTATATGTGTTACTTTACAATTTTAAAGTACTTTATAAAAATACTGATTAGCTAGAAGAGACCCTAGAAATAATCTAGTCATATTCTACTGTTCATTGAGGAGGAAACTAAGACTCCTGAAATCAATGGACCTTCCCTTGGTTGCAAAGTGAGTAACAAGTCTGGGACTAGGAATCAGTCACCTCCCTTCTAGTTCTGTACATAATAGTGTTGGTTTCACCTTTATTTATTTATTGAATTTATAAGTGCTTTCTAATAACTGCTTCGAATGGGTGGTTAATAGGAGACCAGTTAAATTATTGTTGAAGTTTCTAAACCCTCTTCCAGATTACAAGCCATTTAGCTTTTTGCCTTGCCCTGATTTTTACAACAGCTTTTCATCACAAATTTTTCTGAGGTTTGTGGGTTGTTGTTGTTTTTTATTAAACTTATTATTTTCATTCTCCAGAAGATTTTTGTGCCAAGCAGTTCTTTTTATATGATTTGACCAATTTAAAAAATATTATTGTTTGTTCACATAGTGATCTATGTAAATCAGAAGGATTTTTGCCACAAATAAGTAGAGTAATCAGATTACTCACTAGAGCAAAAATCACACTAATTACTTATATCCTGGGAAGTAAGGATAACTCTTTCCAGGTCTTTTTCAATGAACCCCATATAAGATTATTTGCTCTTTCCTAATATTCCTTTATATTAAAAACAACTACAGCAATAACCACAACCTAGCCTAGCCTAATAAGCGATGAGGGTGTTCATTATCAAATAAAATAACTTACTCTATTTGAGGTTGGGCACTGAGCCTTGTTTTGCTTTGTTTTTGACCTGCTGGTAACCAGCAGCTGGAATCCCCACACGAGGAGCGGGTGTCCAGTGCCTTACACTCTGTGGAGGTGGAGCTGCAGAAGCTAACAGAGATCCCTTGGCTTTATTACATCCTCCACCCAAATGAGGATGAGGTATGTAGAATTCAGCCTGTTTCTCGATCAGTGTCAACTTGATGATGATAGAATTTGAATCCATCTTTTGCAAAAGAGATATTCAGGGGAAAATAAATTTTGAATATTACTTTTATGTGAACCAAGGTAACATGGGAATCGCTACATTTTCAGTAGTATATGACGGCATGAACTTCTTTGAAGATGTCATCCCGTCAGCAATGTTTTTTGTTAATAACTGAGTCCTGCATTGTCTCTAACATTAGAGTGGGTTTTCTTCTCTTACTGTCCTGAGAAAATTCTCTTCCTCCTCCACTGGAACAGGAGCCTCCTATGGATTGCACCAAGAGAAACAGCAGAAGCACAGTGTTTCGCATAGTGCCAAAATTTAAAAAGGAAAAGGTTCAGAAGCAGAAGATAAGCTCACAGCCTGGTAGGTGGTCCACAATGGGAGGGAAAGTATAGCATTGCAGAAAAACAACTGATTACAGTGATTCCACTAAGGCAATGAAATGCTCTAGACCAGCGGTTCTCAACCTGTGGGTCGCGACCCCTTTGGCGGTCGAACGACCCTTTCACAGGGGTCGCCTAAGACCATCCTGCATATCAGATATTTACATTACGATTCATAACAGTAGCAACATTACAGTTATGAAGTAGCAACGAAAATAATTTTATGGTTGGGTCACAACATGATGAATTGTATTTAAAGGGCCAGAAGGTTGAGAACCACTGCTCTAGATAGTGGCAATCATTGTTCTACATGTTGGATGTACTAAATGCCACTGTAAAATGGTTAAAATGGGGAGTTTCATTTGATGTTCATTTTACTATAATAAAAAATTATATTGTACCTAAAATATGTCCAATATCAGTAGGAATCAGTAGTTATGAAGCACACAAGAAAATGCAGTGGCTGCTGATTTGCTTTACTTGGTTTGGTGGCTGTCAGTGCACCCATGCAGATGGTTTTCTGTCTTGCTCACCAGCAATTCAAGGCCTCGGCGTCTAACTTGTTTCTCTTCTTCAAAATCTGGATCATTTCGATAAATGGAACATAGAAACTTCCATCTTTTCCTTGAGCTTGTTAAATATATTTTCTACCTAAAGTTCTATATTTTCTTTCTCCTGTTTTAAGGACTTACTACACCATTTGGCAATCTACTGTGACATTTGCATTCTCAAGCAAAGATTAAATTCTCTTTGAAGTTGTCTTTCTAGTTCCCTTCCCACCTTTCCCTAGTGCTTCCATTTAACGCTATGCTAGTGCTAAAGCAACTTCAAGTTCTTTGTATATGATGGTAGGTGCCTTTCACAATCAAATCAGTTTCTAATTTCTCTGAGTCAGCTATCACCTTGTCAAAAGTGATATATAATCTGATTTTTGACAATCAAAGAGCAGCTCTTAAAGGGCATTTCAAAACCAAATATGGCAAATAAGTAGGCTTTTAAATAGCAAATCAATGTTGAGTCAAGTATGTAAAAGAATGATTATACATATTGAAAAATAACAATCCAATTAATCTTAGAGTAGTGTTAACTATTTTTAGATGATGTTAAATCAGTTTAACAGGACATTTATTTTTATAATTATCAATAGTAATAGAATCAATAAAGGCAGCACTTGAAGTCAGCAAGACCTAAAGCAGAAGTTTGTGTAAAATTTAGTACCCTATGTTAGATTTTAAATTTTAATTAGCATTTGTAGCTAATTAAACTACAACTAGTTTCCTATATGATCCTAAGGAAATCATCAGAACTTATTTAGACCTTGTACTACCAATCCCAATTATGAGAAATACATCTTTTGTACATACTGTGTAGTTTGGGTGGCTTTAACGAGGACACTGAGCTAACGCTAAGGACACAGGTGCACTGCAGTGAATGTCTTTGTGGTCCTTATGTTGACCTGCATGGGGAAGAAATGGAACTGTAGTTTTGTTGAAACACCTTTAACCTTTCCCTCTGCTAGCACTGCTGCTGTATTTTGTTTGCATCTCCTTTGGCCAACCTTTGCTTTGTAATGCATTGAGCATGTAGAAATTAAGGGGGTTTTGCTCTTAACTTTGGTAGTTCAGAAATGGGGCACAGAGGAAGTTGCTGCTTGGCTGGATCTGATCAATTTGGGAGAGTACAAAGAAATCTTCATCCGTCATGACATCAGAGGGGCTGAACTTTTGCATCTGGAAAGGCGAGATCTTAAGGTATTTCCTTTGTGCTACTCTTTGCTCTTGAAAGTTTTTCTTGCAAAACAAAATCCCTCCTCCTGTGCCTCTCCTGTTACATGCTTATAGCTTGGCTTATGTTATGCAAACGTGCAATAATCTAATATGCATTGTCCTGTGGTCTGAATTCCTTGTATGCTTTTTAAACAAGAATGTCAGCAATATTTTCCTGTCAAAATCTTTCTCCGGCTATTATAGCTAAAGCTTAGCATGACTTTAGTAATTTTTCTCTGCATACATTGGTATGGCTGTCCCTATATGCTAATATTTTTAAATGGATGATGTTTCCATCTGCTCACTCTACTGGATTAGCATGAAAGGTGATAATTGTTGCTGAAAATAACTTTAAAAATCTAATATAAGGCTAACAACTAAAAATTAACTCAAAATATCAATGACAATGCCTTCCTAATGTATGGAACTAGGTGAGAGACCTATAGCAGTCCTGTGATTTTGCATTTCTAAATTGATGTCAGAGGAACAACTAGACCAATAAATTCAAATTTCTTTCTATGACTTATTAAAATTGTATTCTTCTCAAAAATAAATGTGTTTTATTTAGTAACTGAAGTAAAAATTATGCCTTTTACTAAAAACAGCTCAGAGCCTATTTGTCATTTATGATGGAAAAGGAAAATCATTAATTCATGGTCTACAGCAATTCCCTTTCATTCTATCGGTAGAGACTCAACAGTAAAAATGGCCAAAGTAGCCTCTTGGGTCTCAGAGTTAGGAGTAGGATTTGTCATGTTATGTTTTTTCACCACATGTTGCCATCTTAAAATTCCAAGGTGCTTAATAAACAAGCGACAAAGCCTTCAGTATTTGTTGGAGTGATCCCTTTCCTGTAGACCAACTTCTAAAATGCTTGATACAGTTAGTTCCTGACAAATTCATGAACTGTCTGTGTCTTTATCTATAAGTACATTAGCAGACATTTTTGAACAGATAAAGGGTAGTGTATAGTTGTTTAGAATGCAGAGTCATATAATTTTAGCACAGTGACAGACATTTATACCTAAACATTTTTAGCCCAGAATAAGCTATATATATAAAAGCCTAATATGCAAATTGGCACGGAACAAAGGAAGGCCCCAGCCAGCAGCCAGAAAGAAGGCCCCAATCGGCCCTGATCGCTGGCCAGGCCTAGGGACCCCACCCATGCATGAACTTCATGCACCAGGCCTCTAGTAATAAAATAATAATTAATTAATTTTCTTAGTTGAGAATCCCAAATCTAGAACACAACAAAAGATACGGTGTTAGAGCTCATAAAGTAAAGGTTGGCTTCAAAACTTGAATGTACACAAAAAAATAAATGTGAGGGATCGTTATTTCCAACTTATTTATGTAGCTTCTGATATCATCAGCAGGCAGCAACATTTATTGAATAGCTACTGATTAATGTTCTACCAGCTTCCCTGGGGGGTATCTGCCCTCTAGAAGTTTGCATCTCATTTGCCATGGATAAGCATCATTCAAGGATTAGACAGCGTGTGGGTGTGTGCGCACATGCTCATTATATATGTGTACATAACAAACACATATAAACATGAAAATACACACAGTGAGTGAAGCAAATATTTGCAGAATGAAAAAAAAAGAGCATATACTTATACTAAGTCAAAGTTAGAGTGGAAGGACCAGGCTGGAAAAAAAGAATAAGAGCTAAGTGTAGATAGTCAAGAATTATTTTAGTAAACTTTCTCTTCAGCTTTCATGGGACCTTTGGTTCTGTTTTGTTTTTATTTTTAATATAAATAACATTCTTTCTTAAAAGTTTTGTTTTAGAAATTTTCATTGATAGTTCTTTTGGTTCTAAAGCAGAGTGTGGGGAAATGGGAAAGGAGAAAAATAGTTTTACAGAAAGAGCCTTCAGTAGAACAAAACCATGAAGGTAGAGAATGAGTTGCCCTGGGTCTCTATGGTTGTAGCTGCCAGAAACAGCAGACCCTTCAGGGTCACGTCTCTAAATGTGAAGGATTACCTACACTGTCTATGAATATATTATATCAGTGGTTCACAAGTTTGTATTTCCAGCCCTGACCTCATTTGTGAACTTTAGGATTATTCTACTTGAAACTTGGCTATCACACAGGAATGTCAATCTTAACATGTCCAAAACTAAACTTTTGAGCTCCTATCCCATTCCCATTCTGCCCCTTCTCCAGTGCTCTTAGTAAACCACCCTTCTCTCTCTCCAGGTGCTTGAGCCAGAGAAACCCAAGGTCATACTTGGCACCTTCCGCTTTCTTATCCTTTCCCCCTAACTCATTAAGCCCGTCACAAAGTCAGGTTGCTTTCTCCTGTCCATATCCTACTCCATGATACTGTACCCTCTGCCTGTGTAAGGTTAGTGTCTTCCTGGCTCTCCCTTCCACTGCTACTCTTGCTCTCTCTAGCACATTATCCCCATTGCAACCAGAGTGATAATTTTAACATTAGACATATCACTTTCTGCTTAAAACCTTTCAGTGGCTTCTCCTTTCTGTTAGAATAAAGACTCACATCTTTGTGAGGCCAACAGGTTCTGCCTGTTTATTTAACCTGCTGTGGAATCACTGGCCCCTTGCTTATTTCATTTGCTTAAAAATAATAAACTCATTCTCACCTTAGGAGTGTACCTTCTGATAGTATGCTTCTCCTCCTGACCTCACCTGGCTAAGTCCTGCTCAGATCTTGGCTCAGGTGTTACTGCCTTATCACCAAAACAACTAGAGATAGTAATGTGACCGTCCAAAGGTGACAAAGGGAGAAAATTCCTAATGTGCTTTAACAGACAAATAAACTGATTGATTGCATTATTTTTATTTTTTTTAAATATTTATTGTACTGATTTTTTACAGAGAGGAAGGGAGAGGGATAGAGAGTTAGAAACATCGATGAGAGAGAAACATTGATCAGCTGCCTCCTGCACACCCCCTACTGGGGATGTGCCTGCAACCAAGGTACATGCCCTTGACCAGAATCGAACCTGGGACCCTTGAGTCCGCAGGCAGATGCTCTAACCACTGAGCCAAACCAGTTAGGGCGATTGATTGCATTATTTTTATTCCTGGAAGACAGTAGGAAAAACTGATAGACACCAAAGAAAATGACAAAGACACAGTTGTTTTTGTTTGGTTGGTTCTTGTTTTTTTTTCTATTTGGAAAGTTGTGTATGTGTGACTAGAAGGGTAACTCAATATCTACAAAGCATGCTTCTGCAAAATTAGGCCTATTAATCCAAAGAAAGCAAAAGCCAATAATAAAGACTATGAAAAATAAATTATGAAATATATAACTAATATCAAGGCATAACTTTGTCACAGCCTAACTCCTAGAAAACATGAAAGTACTGAATTCAAAAGAAAGAAAATATAGCTAATAAGTTAGTGTAGCTCTATGGGAAACATTCATTTCATTATACTACAATATTAATTTTGAGTAGAATCTGGCCTCTCAAAGTTTTTATTCTTGAGAATACAATGTGCATATGGCCTAAAATAAAATATGTAGTGCTAAATATATATTTTTTCAAAATGTAATAAATTTTTTATTACAATTTACATTCAATATTATTTTGTATTAGTTTTAGGTGGATAGCGTGGTGGTCAATCATATACTTTACAAAGTATACCCCTTCATATTTTTAGTACCCACCTAGCATCGTACATAGTTACTACAGTATTATTGACTATATTCCTTATGCTATACATCACTGTGACTATTTTGTAACTATCAATTTACATATCTTAATCCTGTCACCTTTTTCACCCATCTCCTAACCCCTCTTCCATCTGGCAAACATCAGTCTTTTCTCTACATCTGTGAGTCTGTTTCAATTTTGTTTGTAAATTAATTTTGTTCTTTAAATTCCACATGTAAATGAAAATATATGGTCTTGCTCCGTCTTATTTCACTTAGCCTAATAACCTCTAGGTCCATCCATACTGTTGTAAATGGTAAGATTTCATTCTTTTTTTATGGCTAAGTAATATTCCATTCTACATATGTACCATAACTTTCTACCCACTCGTCTATTAATAGGCACTCGGGTTGCTCCCCCAGGTAACTATGTTATCACAAAGCATAAAGACTATTAAATATTCCACGCAAATCAAAGAATCTGAGTACAACTATAAATGCAATTTAATCTTCCTCTAGGATTTGACCTTGCTTTTGTTATTTTAGCAAAAGCAAGGAAAATATATAGTTGCCTTAAGACTTATTGTGGATGGCCTGGTGTCATATGAGAAAATATTTTTCAGGGTCAGTTAAATATTGTAAGAATTTTACCCTGAAATTATCTCAAGCTTGAAAAGAGCACTGGCTATGGAAAGAGTATTTTCCAGAAGGATTCAGAGGCTTCAGTAACACTGCTGCTATGGAATTCAGATTGCTCATAAAGTATATGGGAGCGAGAAACCACGTGTGTGTGTGTGTGTGTGTGTGTGTGTGTGTGTGTGTGTGTGTACTTAAAACAGGTTGATCTATTTCATTTAAAAGTAAACAGTGCTCTTAGTCTACAGAACAAAGTGGATATTTAGAATTTTTATCTTCTCAGAAAAATAATCTTGTGGTACCTTATCCTGTTTTCTAGGCTGCTTTGGAGTTAATCATTTTATTAATTTTCAAATATTTTAAACTCTGTTTTGTAAAGTTAAATATTCCACTTCACATATTATGCCCCTTACACCTGAAGAAGGCTGTCGTGTTTGGAGGCCATCACCCTTTCATTTAGTTTCTCAGATAGTGAATATTATGGCTCTCTTGGATGGGTTTCATTCATTCCTGCAGCAGGTGTTTATTTGCTAAGTGCCTGCTCTGTGCCACACACTCTGCAATCAGCATCCATTTCTGAAAATTAACTATTGAATCTTGGTTCTTTATAGAAAATAGTTCTTTAAGAAATGAGAAGAGTTCTGAGGGAAAGGAGCCAAAAGAGGTGGAGGAAAAACACCAACCCACAGATAGCTATGTCTAAGAAATTTTTTACACTTATACATTACAAAGTGTGAGGAATACTTAAAATTCCCCAGCAATCAAAGACTGTGGGTGCAGCTGCAACTAACTGCATTTGTGTTCCAAATGTAGGTAATGGGCACTAGTGTCTTCCTTCAGGATTAGGCCTCACTTTTAAGTTTACTTTACCAAGGAAGTGTGTAGTTGCCTGGAGGCTAATTGTGGGTACCCACGTGTCACACCTAGCGTTTCACAGAGATCCCAAATGGACCTGTGTTTCTTAAGAAAAGAAGAGCAAAGAGAAACTAATTTAGACTCTAGAAGAACTGCCATTGTATATAATTCATGAGAATGTACATTTAAGAGTTTGTGTATTTTATTGGTTGTTAATTTTTCAATGTCAGGTTATTTTTGTTTTATAAACTTGTTTTTTAGCTTTTACTTCCTGAATCATTAAATATAAACTAAAGTAAATGAAGTGAATGCTAATTATAAGCTTAATATTTAATCTCCAATTTTCTCTTGTCAATAAACTTCTTTCTCTACTTTCCCACCTCTTTTTTTTTTTCCTTTTTTGTTTAGGACCTGGGGATATCGAAAGTGGGTCATATGAAGCGAATTCTCCAGGGAATTAAAGAGCTTGGAAGGAGCACTCCCCAGTCTGAGGTGTAATCATATTGGTGCTATTCCTTAGAAGGGAAGTAATTGCTATTTAATACAAAGTCCTTGGAAGCAGTTGACTGTTCGTGTAGTTTTCTGCCCAGATAAGTAAGCACCACTGAAGCACCTCCATGGCTTGATATTTTGCTGTTGGTGAAAATTTTGATTTGAGGTATTAGAAAATATTTTTGTGCCAAAAAATACATTCCACAAAGCTATTTTCTTACTGTGCAAACCTGATATGTTCAAATTTGCTCATATAAGTAAAACAGTAGGAAGAGACAATTGCATTGTCCAAAAGGTGAAATTGCAGAATGTTTGCTTTCCTTAAACCTGGTCAGATGGAATGTTCTTACTGTGCACCCACATAATAGTATATGGCTAAAACTTCTTAGGTCTCATTATTGGAAGCATTGGCTTCTTCCTTAAAATTGTTGGTTAGAGGACTAAAATATATAAAGATGTGTTTTGAATGTTAGATTGGTATCACCTCAGATTCCTAGTGTCTTGTGGTCAAATAATAGGGTTAAAATCCCTCAAATACTATGAATGAATGAACGCAAATCTTAATGCACGGTGTTGCTGCCTGAATTGTCTCTTTCTTGCATGTCCAACATCTAATATTGTAAAACTTAGTGTTAATGTCAGTTTTAATGGGATTAATTTATTACTACCTAAGTACCTTTTTGTTAACTATAGGCACTTTTCTGTTCTTTGATGTGGACTTTGCATAAATATTCTGTATCTAAGAATTTGTGAACATGTGTCTATGCCATAATCAACAAATGCTAAACATTTTAGGCAAACCAATTTTTGTCAACCTATCATAAAGAGTAGGTATGCACATTAAGAAAATTCCCTGGATAGTTTCATAAAATTACATATTCTGTTGTCTAACAACATTATGCTTTCCAAACCAAATTTTCCACATTTGTTCTTATTTTCCATTTCAATTTAATAATTATTTAATGCTGTGTTTGCATTTATATATAGTAACTGTTGACATCCAGGAATTTCTTCAATGTCTCAACTATGGTTTGTATACTGATCAGTTACCCAGACTCACCCACTAGCTAAAGTTATGCTTGACATGAACTTCCTCCCAACAAGAGAAATTTAAAATTTTTAAAGGCCTTTACATTATTATTATTATCTCACATAATTCTTATATCTTATCAGGTAGGTATTATTTTCTTTTTCTAACCACCATACTTCAGTGTAGCTCATTAGGAGTCAACATTGCAATTATCAAATCTTTGAAAGCCAAAAGCGTACATATCAACAAGTCACAAAATACCTTCAAATAATCTCTTTTTAGATATTCTATGCCAAAAATTAATTATAATATTTAAAAATCTTCTATATATAAGAAGTAAGCAGGGTACTGTACTGACCAGGTGGTGACAGTTTTCATAAAGTAACCTTTTAGGTAGGTGCTCAATAGGAATATATACACACGCATATATACATATACACACATATATGTATATACACCCATATACATTTATATGCATATTCACGCTTATAATCACAAAATATGCTCTCATTGACATTTTCTAGACAACTGTTTGCTGAATGCTTAAAGAGAAATATTGATGGGAAAGCATTAAAATGAACTATTGTCAGATATAATTTAATTATATCAAAGAAGTTTAATTATTTCACATTTTATTCTTATTTATAACTTTAGTATCTAACTACTAGAAAAAACACAAAATTTGGATATCTTAAAAATAAATAAACCTGATAGGTAGGTTCATGACCAAGTGTGTCTGACTATATATTTTACCTAAGTTGTGAATAAGTGGAAATTTTCCAAAGAGAATTATACCAGGTAGCTTAATAGAGTAAAAAGTTATTCACTTAAAATGTTAATGTTACCCACACCTAAGAAATCACAGGCCTTTTCCAGTTCCCTTTGTAGTCCCCTGCCCCCTGCCCCCCAGCCTGCACGATGTCCTGCTCTTCCAGACACTTCCCTGGGAAAATAAAACATATGCCCGGTCTCCCTGTCCAGCAAGGAGGTGGGAACTCTAAACAAGAATGAATTAATATAAAGATCTTTATTGATTTTCACTTCCTCAAATACCTCTTTGCCAATAGAGAAGATTCTTAAGCTATTACATTTTCATAATGGAAAAGGAAGATATAAATGACTGAATTTTTTGGTTTGATGTTGATCTTTCAATCTTTGATACCATCTCTTATATTTACTGTAAAACCTCAGTTAATGGAATCTTTAGGTCGGTAGAATTTTCCTGCAAGTGGCTCTTGGATGAGGGGAATCCTTTAAAATGACCATTTCGATGTCTTTTTTGTTGAATGATAGCACATTTCCTGATACATTTTGTCATGTGGAGTTGTGTAGGATCCAGATGACTTCACTCACACCTGTTTGCCAGGGTAGTGACCTCAGAGCCTCCTTAGGCCCCTGGCAGTATCACAGAGGGACCAGCTTCTTGTAATAGATGGGGTTACAAAGAAAACAGGATGAAGAATTTCTCTAGGGTGTCTGATTACAGCTCTGGGGAGTGCAGGTGAAGCTTCTGTGCTAGTCGACGCACAAGCTGAGCGGTAATGGCTACCTTTCCTCTCTGCTAGGCTCTTACACATGCAGATAATTTGGGAGGGATGGAGAGGAATCACAACCAACATCCACTTCCTTTCAGTCTCATTTTTCTGAGGAAGAACGTGCTTTTCAAGAATGAAAGGGACAGAGTCAAGCCTAAGTAGAATTTCAGTGTAAACTTAATTTTTCTCTTCAGCGTCTTTCCACCTCCCTTTTATTTCTCTTATTTTTTCTGAGTTTATTTCTTTTTTTAATTTAAATTTATTGGGGTGACATTGGTCAACATGAACATATAAGTTTCAGGTGTGGGTTTCTATATTGCACCATGTGTCCACCTCCCTCTCTGAATTTCTTTCCCAGTTCCTGGCTTCACGTTTTCCCATGTGCCCAGTATATGATGGTTGCTCAAATTCTCACTGCCATATACTACCCTTTCCTCATCAACTGTCCCACTGCAAAATGGCTTCTTTCATCTCTCCTTGCCTGAGCACTCATTGTGGGTCATCTAGCAAAGTTTTAGGAAGAAGACAATATAAAGAAACTAACTTTACAGTTTGTATTTAATAAAAGGAAACGCTAATTTAAGTGAATTAATGGATTAGGTAATTGGGAACTATGATATACATTGCTGTGACTAGGAAAGGAGTCATCCCGAGAATGTCTAGACCTGTGCTGTCCAATATCATAGCCACTAGGCTCAAGTGGCTATTTAAATCTAAATTACTTTATGTAGAAATTGAGTTTCTCATGTGCACTAGCTACATTTCAAGTGCTCAGTGGCCACAGTGGACTAACAGATGTTGAGTATATACATCATTGCAAAAACTTTACCAGACAGATAGCATTGGTCTAGAGCAGAGGTTGGAAACATCTGGCCTGCCAAAGCATTAAGGGTGAGTTAATTAAATGTTTAACTAAATATAGTAGGCTGATTTTTAAGTTGATGATTTTCTATGTCTTGCAAATGATGTTATAAATATCCCAATGGCCCTTGGCAGAAAAAAGGTTCCCCACCTCTGGTCTAGAGCATTGCTACCCAAAATGTAGTCCATGGACCAGCAGCATCCTTATCACCTGGAAACTTACAGAAAGGCAGATTCTTAGGTTTACTCCAGACCTACTGAATCTAAACTTTGGAACAAGATTCGTCAGGTGATTAGCACTAACCTAAATATGTTTTATTCCTCCTAGATATTAGGGATTTCTGGTCTTTAAAAGATGCTCAAAATAGCTCATTCCCCAACCCACTATTTCATATCGCTTCTCCAGCTAATCCTAGAAATCAGTTAAAACTCATTTATTCTCCTCATTTATCGCCCTAACTGAGCTTTCTTCTCCACCCATATTCCTAATTCTGGCTCTAGATGAGCCCTACCTACCCAGTTATTATATTTTGGTAGCGAAGGTGGAACACAGGAAATTGGCTAACCAACACAGCTGGCCTCTCTCCAGCCCCTCACCCCACATCTTAGTCACTAACAGTCTGCATTCACTCAGTTTGTTGCTCATGTGGCCTTCTCATTTGTTCACAACTTAAGTAACAGGAAATATTTTCAGAAGAATATGTACTGAGACAAGTAAAGACTGGGTCAGTTTCTTACAACTTCACTTTCTCTTATCAGTAGATTATCCTGTTGACATAGTTCATGCTTGAGAACACAGCAGCACACACACATTAAATGAATCATTAGTCATGAAAACCCAAGATTGCAAATAAAGTGAATGTGTCATTAAAGCCCTCAGAGAAAGCATTTGTTTGCTAGACTAAGTCTGCTAATTATGCTAACTTACCTTGATTATCAGATAGCTAATCATTCCTTAAAATAGTGCCTGAAAATACTTTATCATATTCTTGACCTTGAAAATAAAAATTATTTAATTCTACAATAAGATCTTGGTTAATAATCCTTCACTTAATGTGTACATATTGATATAATTTAAGAGATACTTTATCTAATTTTCATGAATAAAGAGGGCACTACTTTAATCTTCATGGAAGTAATTTTTAACAGGACTTGAGGAAGGAAATATTCATGCAAAGCATGACTTAGAAAATTATAGTGCAAAGTTCTATACATCCTTCTAAAGTAAGTGATCTATTATCTCCGACTGGGCTGACAACATATTGGACTTTTGTGTTATGCAGATGTGAATTCTGTAAGGGTATAGCTTTTCATTAAGCTATAAAAGCTGGCTCAACCTTGATATCTAGGATCTCTCCTGTCCTCCTCCCCCGGCCCCTATAAAGTCATCCTGTATTTTTCAGATGAAATTTGGATAAAACAGTGGGTTTAGAGATTGATGATACAAGTGGCAGTTTTAAAAGATCAAGCTCTTCAGATCAGCTGAAAAGAATGAGAAGTGAAGATTCCTCAAATACTGTCAGACTCCCAGGGGGTTCCAGTGCTTGGGTGCCATGCCTCTCCCTTGCCCTCTCTGCTCACCATCCATGCCAAGTGCAGTAGGGCCTGGGACTTGTTTGACTCTGCTGTGGCATCTCCCCAGTGACTTCCGTATAGCAGTCTCTGCGTCACATGGGCAGCATGTAGGATACCTTCCTAAAGAAACAACCAAACCTTCTAAAAGGCCACGATAATTGGCTTTATAATAAGCAAAGCACTCATTTTTAATCTTTATTGTTGTTTTCTCTTTACTATTTCCTCCAAGTTTTGTTTGGAGATATTTCTGTTAGGATAAAAAAAACTGTAAAGATTTATTATTACAAAGAACAGTGAGATAAAAGACAGCTGGACTGTATCTATTTGTATACTTCTTTTTGTTATTTTTCAGAAAAAGAAGTTTAGCAGAGTAACTGAGAGTGCATTAAACTCAGTAACAATGTTTTTAAAAAAATCATATTACTAATATAGGTGAAGAGATTAACTTCCTCCATGTACTTAAGATATTCTATTTACATATATTTATATCCTCTCTCAATTTTTTATGCACTTCCAAGTTTTAGTTGGAAAAATAGAAACAAAGCCACTACTTAAAAGTTCTAAAAACTTTAAATTATTTCATTTTAGCTACAAGTTATTCATTGCATAGGAATTTATTAATAGTCTCAGTATTTCATAGGAAATGCATTTCAAGAGTAAAATAGCCAAACTTAAAGAACTATAGGGTTACTTTAAAATGTATTAAAATAAGTTTTATACTCAGTTAATGATGCCATTGAAGTAGGATAATGCAGTTAGATATACAAGCTAAAAAGGAAAAAGAATATATTTTGTGGTCCTTACTGTTTGATTGCACTATTGTTTACCACAGCTTAGCCATGTCTACTTCTATATTCTAACTATTAAGCTGATATGTAACTAAAGATTTCTTACAGTTCTGGTAACTGGTAACTAGTGCTGTGAAAGGTTTTGGTATTGTAACATTCCCAGTTTTGTGAGTTATATATTGTATATTGAAGATGATTAATAAATTGAAGTAATATATTTGACTAGAGCTGGGAAAACATGGTAATTATTTTCAAATGTTTAAGTTTAATCAAAAATTTTTTTCTCTTAAGTGAGATCAAAGTCTCACTTTTGTTAAAATGTCTATTTATACAACAGGTTTCTCCTTTTATTGATTTTATTAATTTTCCTATTAAAATTGTTCTTATCTTTTGTACCAAAATAATTATCATGCTGGGTATTCAAACTGCCAAGATGTATTTTAGTTTGCTGGACTTTGGCAGACAAAATATTTAATAACAAACCAGCTTTGTATATTTTGTGGCTTTGGGGGGCAAGATTTTACCTTTGAATATCTAAGTGCTGTTATCAGCAAAGTCAACATAGACAGTATTACTTGTAATTATCTGTAGAAGATTTTCACAAATTGTATAAATCAGTGCATTTATTTATTATGTTGTGAAATTTAATCTTTATACAAATGCATATTCTAGCCCTTTTCTTGTAACTGCTGTTGCTTAGAGTGTAATAGCTCTGTTAATGATTTACTTGCATACTTGAAGTACTCATTTCTGTCAAACAGATGCCCAATTTATTTCCTTGTTTAAAAAAAGGTATAGATAACTGAATAGTAACAGAGACTTTGTTAAAAAATAATTTTGTTTAAAATAAATATGAAAAAAGGCATAAAGCCAAAATAGAATCACCATTATTAGGATTTAATGTAGCCATGATCCCATTCTGCTATTTTTTGCCAATCTGCATATAGTTTATCTTCAAGTCAGAACTTATTTTCTTCTGTATTTGTTGTAAAAGAAATCTCAGTGATTATACTGCCAGTATGAAATTCAAATGCACATTAAGAAACTTGAACCCAAAAAAATCTCACATACCTCCAGCTGCTAGCTCTAGGTTCCAGGCTGTATATTTTTAACAATGATTGCATTTGAATCTGGACTACTTTACAAATAGTAACCATGATGGATAATGATTTGTTTCTGTTAATTACGTCAGTGGCATTTGAGTTCTGAATTATTTTTGTTTAAAAATGTTCTCTATTCACCTAATTAAAAAACTAAAAATCTAAACCATAATGGCACAACATACCACACAGAATAAAATCACGTTTTCAAGAAAGAAAATAAAACTGTTCTGACTTAATGTGAGGCAGTGTTATATACCAAAGAAATCGCTTTAACAAGCCCTAAATTCAACTGTCTTATAGTGTAAGCTGTAGATGAATTGTGAACTATTTTAGCACTATAATAGGAGATTAGGAATTAATTTACTGTAATTTTAAAGACAGTTTTTGTTAATTTTACTGTTGTACAATTATTGAAGGCAGGAAAAAAAGAAATTATAGGAGAAACATCATATGGATATTAAAAGAAAAAGAAGCTTGAGTTCTTTTGAAAAGATTTGGAAATAGGTATCTTTTGAATTTAGGTATCTTTTACTTTATATTATAGAAACACAAAACGTGTGAGTTGTATGGTAGGTACAATACCACAAAAACAAAATGGCACCCTGGTGAAGTCTATGAGACCATGTCTGTGTTTTATCAAAGTAACCAGCGAATGCAGGGGCCCATTCTCCTGTTGAAATTTAGAAGTCAGTGAAGGAGATAGTTTGGATGACCTAATCTTTTGCATTTCCTACATGAGGCAAATGTCTGTGCTTTCTCAACTTAGTGATTGGTATAGGGAGAACTAGTCAGAAGGGCTTAGCTAGTTCCTATAGAAGAGCTCTGGTAAATATAGATCAGACCATAGCATTCAGACTAAAGAGATTTTCATGACTTTGCTAAGCCTTCAAATTTTTGGCAATGATAGATTTTCCTTTCATTTGAAACAAAAAAAGTATTAAAATTTATAATATTACACAGAGCTGAATTCTGTGATTCTTGAGGTGGGAATATGGTTTAGATAATATTGGGTTCCATAACTGACTTTGACACTGGCTCACTGTGTCCTTTCTACAAACTATATGTTTTGGTGCCTCAGTTTCCCCAATTAGACATGGCATATAATATTATCAATTATAAGTACTTGGGAATTTTTCTTTTGCAAAAGGAGTTATGTAAGCATGAATCATACCTAAATTTATTATTTCTTTCCCACTGTCATTTGAGTTATAAAGAAAAGCTTCCAAGACTAAAGCTTGAAAATTAAAATTCCAAATTAACATCCCTTGATGCTCAGTCTTTTTACAGGAAGTTTTGTTAAAATGAGAGTGAACTTACCTTAGTACTATCAGTACCAGAGTAGGTTTGGGTATTTTCCTGTATACTACAGGTTCATATTATTCATTTTAGGGTCAAATAAAAACTCACTTCTAAAATCTTCAGAAGTTTAGTGGGGGTTTTTCTGCACCCACCCCAAACAACCATTTTACAGCTGTGAAAATTAAGACCTTCACATTTTTTTCTTATATTAATAACTCCCTAAAGAGGAAAATGTTTTCCTTTCTTCCTTCCTTTTTTTCTTTCTCTTTTGGAAAATGTTTCTTTAAATCAGTGGTTAAAAAAAAATGGAATGCTCTTACCTTGTGACATCACTGCTCCCTCTCTTACCTTGTGACATCACTCCCTATACTAAGTGAATGCTGAATGGTTTCCTTGCTATTTGATCCCAAGCATGGATCACTGGCTACATTCTCTGGCTGTGAAGTGCTAATTCCTAATGTAAATTACCTTCAAAACTTCCTGTAAAAAGACTAAACTAGAAATTGCCTTAATTATTATCATAATGCAAACCTGAGTGCAATTAAATGAAAAAAATTAGAATAACCTACTTAAAATCATTAAATATAGATGAGGGTAAATGAATACTTGCCTTTATTTTTGCCTGACATTTGAATTCAGTCACTATCTGATCCTTGACTTAAGATTTCTTTGCAAAACATGGTATTTTTTATAGCATAATATGGTCACTTGGAGCTCCTATTGCATCCTCCTCCCCTAAAACTGTATGACATAAGAGGAAAGACTGAATCTGAACTTATTCATATAGTATTTTGACCTGTCTTATTAGCACAACTTAGTTTTCATAATGACAGATTCCCTCATTGATGATTCCGGAATAATTTGATATAGTGACAAGAAGAAATCATTTTTCTGGGAACTTGCTTCCCACAATGACCTAATATACTGTTGACCTTAGTACAATTAAAATTAATTATAATTTTATTAAGAGCCGGCCCTTTTTACAGATTTCAATTGTGCAGCAGATTTTAATATACATACTGTTGAGGATGGAAATATTGCAAACTTGAGCAGTTCTTTCTTTTGTTTCTTCTCCTTTTACTTGAAAAACTTTCAGAAAGCTTTGAGAGAGGACACAGTTTTCGTAGCAACATAGTCTTCTTCCAGGAAACTCATAAACTAAAACATGGAACAAAACCAATGTTTAATCCTAATCTTGGTTTTGGACAGTGTAAACAAAAGCATTCTATATATCAGAGGTTTTTTTTTTTCAGTGTTTCTGCAGTTTCATATTTCATTTTTGTCCATCTCAAAAATTGAATCAGCAGTTTGTGTTCTATTTCTAATTAGTTGTGGTAAGGCAATAATTGCTTGTATCAGTACAACCTTTCACCATTTTTCTCTCCTGTGCTTTTTCTGTTTTTCAGTAACCACTTTTCTGACCTTCATTCTACCACTTCTAGTCTGTCTTCCTTATGGTTGACAGAGTGGTCTTTCTAAAACACAAATTTGCTTTGCATCACTTTGCTAAAAGTTTTTAAATACGCTCTCCTTTCTTTACAACATAGCATCCTAATTCTTTAGCATGATGGATAATGATCTCTATGAACTTGAGTTGTTTGCATCCCCACCTACCAATTTCCCCCCCCCCCCCTTTTTTTAAAGCATTCTTGCCCACCATTTTCCTGGAATTTGGAACCATCCACAACTTAGTCCTCAGCATAATCACGTACTATAGGTCAACTCATTCAAGACTCAGTTCAAATTCCTCAAACCAAGTTAAGCTTTTCATCCATGCTCCATAGAATCTTGAAATTTTTTCTATTAAAATAACATCACTTTTCAACAATTTTATATATTGTATGCCTGCCCCCACCCCCGAATTTCTCTCTTTCTTTTAATTTCTAGTCTCACTATCTAGCTACCACATAATAAGACTTTAATAAGTGTTTTTGAATGGATGATATAAATAGAGAACCCAAACTTTTCTATAGTTTTATACTTTCACAAGTGAAAACTTGGACTTCTCTGAGAGTCCACATGAGGTCTAAGTGTCTTCATGAGCACACACACACTCTGGGAAACCAACAGAAGATGGACAGCAGGGAAGAGCAGTCACTTTATGAAGGATAATCATTTGTTAGCTATTCATCAGAGACACTTACCAAGTCTGAATTCTTGTTTCTAAATATGAGGCTTATCAAAATCACATAACTGACAAATTCTTATTTGTAATTCCTAAATATGCCATAAAGGTGATCTTTGTCTTTTGTAGACATTCGGTATATACAATCTATATAAACACATACACTGATTACCTACACAAAATAATGAGACTTCAGAAAGAGTAAAAAACAATAATGAAGGTGAAATTTTCTTTTAAATAATGTTCAACCAAAGATATTGACTGAATTTGTGTGATTTCAGGTCATTTGTAGCTAATGTCTATTTCACTTTTTTTCTGATGCAAATGTAAGAAGGCTTGTTTGTGACTTTCACCCATTATACAATATAAAGAATGAAAACTATTATCTGTGCACTATAGGTTCATATTATTAATTTTAGGATATACTAAAAACGCAATTCCAAAATCTTAGAAAATTTAGTAGTACTTTTCCTACACCCACCCCAAACAACCAAGGGCCTGGTTTTCTTTTGTGATTCTATAAAACCTTTTGACTGTGTCCCCAAATCATGGTAAAGGTTAACACAAAAGCTCTTTAAAGTTAATCATTTCTAAAATTAAATAGTAGTCCAAAATGTGTGCAATTAAATTAAATGCCCTCTTCCTTCACCCACTTAATAGACATTTTTCTGCCTGCTCTATTCTTGGCATCTGATTAGAGGTTGGGGTACAACTAAAGTAAGGCATAGCTCTTACCTGGGAGAGTTTGTTTGTTTTCATGATTATTTTTCTACAGTCCATTTAAGAAATTGGGAGGACATTTTTTTAAACCAAGTATTTCTCAGGGTATTTCAGAGACGTGGTCTCTTTTCACATCAAAAAACTAACAAATCCTGTGTCATAAAGAAGTAACCCCGTTTTTATGCCTACAGTTTTGTATTTTCAGATCATCCACAAATAATTTTGCCCATCCCTTGTCAAGTACATCTTTCATCAGACCTGTAGAATGCCATTTCCACAACCGTAACTGCTATGTGTGATCCAAGAGACTAATAGATTTGTAGAACATAAGTAACATTTCAAGTCCATTTTACAAAGGCATATGTCCCTATTAATGACACTTACACCAAAATATATGGGGTATGCATTGTGAGCCCACAGCAGAGGGAAACGTAAAGTAATGCTTCCTGGTGTAAAAGGCTCCATTTGAGCTTACGAGTTGCTGTTTCCACCTCGGTTATTTTTATTGGCGAGTCAGGAGTGATATTTAACAGGTAGCGTATTTATCTAAGCATATAGTAAGCATACTAAGCATATTTGTGTGCCACAGTACACTGATATAGATGAAACAAAACAAAAATTTTGGAGTTATAAAAATGAACTTAACTGAATATTTATTGATAGGCAATAGAGTTCCTTTATGACAAGGAAAAAAACTGCCGTTATCTTAATTATCAGTAAGTATGGGGGGGAAAAAAACCCTTGTATGTATATTTACATTTTGATAAGCTTATTTTGAAGTCGCCATTTCCCATCAGCATAAAGTATCAATCATTTCTGTGTTCTCTAGCAAAAGAAAACTCTTAGTTTGAAACAACTTTACTCTTTGTTGGATGTTATAAAAGGTCCACAAAAGAAGGAAGCTCAGATGGCTAGGTAGATACTTTCCCCTTATATTCAGCATAATGATTTTACCTTTTGATAAAGATACACAGTAACTATTTGCCTTCTATTTATCATATTGAAAACATAATAGTAGAGTTCTTTTGACCCTTACATTGGAAAAGATAGTTTTAATTTAGCCTTTGCTATATTATTTATAGTTAAGAGTTTACTACATTTTGGTAGTCTGTTTTGAAATTGTACTGTATCTGAAAGATGCAGATCATGTCTATTTATTACACAATGGGCTCTGTTTGCTGCAGAAAAGAGTAAAACTTTTAACTGCTTAGCACACTTGCCGGTGAAATATACCTGACAGGGCAGAGGTTATAACTTTGGCTCTAATTAGTTTTAATAATGGTAGGAAAATGTGTTTTGTTTGTTTACATGCTGTTTACAATGGCATAATTTTTAAATATATACAACAATTGAGATATTTATTGCATACTATTTTAAAGATGTTTTATGTGTTTTCACCTTTGGAATATATTGTTACAGTTCCTTATACAGGTAATTTGGGTGGCTTTGTTAATAATGTAGCTAGCAATTTTTATGACTACTAAGTGACCAGTTTTCTGTGCCTTTTATTGTGGGATGCATGATGTATTTATTGTACGGGAGTCACTGATGCGTGTATTTTTGTACTTGGCTGAGAGTTACGGTTGATCTCCATGTACATGATGATGAGAGATGCCTTTCCCAAAGGGCACTGCCTTGAGATCATTCTTCTCAAATAAAAAGAATGCATTTGGACAATGTGTGACGTCTACGTTCTTTCTGGTGAGAAATCTTATTTTTTTATTAAACTTTTTAGGTTGAGATAATTGTAGACTCACATACAGTTGTAAGAAATAATGCAGAGAGAGATCTTGTGTGCCCTTCATTCATTTGCCACCCTGCAAACGTAGAATACAGTGTCACAACCAGGATGTTGACACTGACAGTCAAGATGCTAACAGTTCTCCCACCACAGGGATCCACAACAGGGGTCCCTCGCATTGCCCCCTCGTACTGCCCCCTCGTATTGCCACACCTACTTCCCTCCCACCTCCACCCCAGCAACTCTTAATCTATCTTCACTTTTGTAAATTTCTCATTTTAAGAATGTTTTATTAAAATTTACTAAATTTGTGATTTTTTTTCCACTTAGCTTAACCTGCATGTACCAATAATTCAGTTCTGTTTATTGCTGAGTAAGATTCCATCTGGTGGGGGAATTCTTAATGGTAAAACATAATTTGGTTTATTCTTATAGTAATAAGTCCTTGAAGTTCACCAATAAACACTTGTGTTAAGAACCAGATGTGTCAGGCATTGTCTGCAGTGGTAACCATCGATGAGGAGCCCTTTGAGATTACTATCTAATGAGGAAGAAATATTACTGAACACAGAGTGTTGTGTGCATTGATAAAAATATGTCGCCAGGCCCTAGCCGGTTTGGCTCAGTGATTACAGCATCGGCCTTCCAACTGAAGGGTTCTGGATTCGATTCCCGGTCAAGGACACCTACCTCAGTTGCAGGCTCAAGTGCTGACCCAGCCAGGGCATGTGCAGGAGGCAACCAATCAATGTGTCTCTGTCACATCTGTGTTTCTCTCTTTCTCTGTCTCTCCCCCTCCCTTCCACTCTCTAAAAATCAATGGAAAAAAAATATCCTTGGGTGAAGATTAACAAAAACACACACAAAACAACACAAAAAATATGTCACCAGATACATCAGGACATGAGGGCCACAGAGGAAGGGAGGATCTAGAGAAGTTCAGAGGCACCTTCCTGAATAGGTGACAGAGTTGAGTTTTAAGCAGTTTGTTTGTCAGGCCAAGTACGTGTGTGAGACCTGAGGAGGCTGTGCAGGGGAGGACGTGAGGCAGCTTGGCAGTACAGCTGGGTGTTGCTGAGACTAAAGGAGTCCAGCAAGAGACACAGGATGGAACTTGAGAAGCAGAGGCAGGTCAGAGCAATCAGATTTGAGCCCTGGACAGATCAGTGACTTCTGCCGGTGGTAGGAGTGACTAGCAGAGGGTTGAGGACATGGAGATCAGCTTGAGGCTGTTGAAGAGATCTAAGCAAGAGATGGTGGGGATCTTTTTAGGGAAGTTTTAGTGGAAATGGGAAAGAGGAAACATCTGAGAAATACTGAGGTGGAAATGGCCTGTGCATGGAGACTGGCTGTAGGTGTAGGAGGAGGAGGGAAGAATTCCAGGTTTCTACCAACTGGAAAATAAGTACCAAGGTGAAATTCAGGTTTAGGCATTATGGGTAAGGTCACTAGGATGCCTGTGGAATACAGGACAATGTTGGAGGGAGGCATGGAAGGAAATACAGACCTGGTGGATTCAGGCCATCAGAGAACATCCCCAGGAACTCAGAAAAGGGCCCCAAAGAGCGGGACTCGGGCCTGGGAGGAAGGGTGCTGTCCAGGTGGTTCCCCCAGGGGCCTGGGGGCAGTAGAGCTGGTTCTGGGGGGGGCCGAAGGAAGAAGCTGGAGAATGGGACCAACTGCTTCCACCAGGGTGCGAACCGGTGCCAGGCAACACCAGCAGCAACAGCAAACAGGAAGAGTGAGGCCTTCTGCCTCCTGGTTTCCCTCTTGTGTCCCCAGTGGCAATAAGGGCAGGAAACCAGCTGGCAAAGAAGCAATACCATTTGTATTGCAGAGCCCCACGCCCAGCATTTAGGGTATATTTAGAGCTGAGAGGTAACAGTCCAAAAGTGGCCATTAATCCTAATAAGGCACTCTTCTTTAGGAACTACAGGGTCGCCCGGCCGGTGTTGCTCAGTGGTTGAGTGTCAACCTAGGGACCAAGAGGTTTGATTCCAGGTCAGGACACATGCCGAGGTTGCAGGCTTGATCCCCAGTGTGGGACGTGCAGGAGGCACCTGATCAATGATTCTCTCTTTGATGTTTCTATCTCTCCCTCTCCCGCTCTGAAATCAATAAAAATATATACAGTGTTTTTAAAAATTAAAAAAAAAAAAGAACAGGATCATTATTCAGTGGAGAGTAGGGCAAGAAGCTGGCCCAGGAAGGATACTTGAGGGAATAGAGGACTTTGAGCTTGGAAAGGAAAACCGGGAGTAAGGAGTGGGGGTAAAGGTGGAGATGAGATGGGACATTAAGAACTGTTTTCAAATATTTGAAGGACTGTCCTGGGGAATTGGGTTTGCATTAGTTCCAACTATCTTTTTCCCAGGCCTCTAAGGTCAAGCACCTCCCCCTGCACCATTTTGACTTTATTAGGAATGTGTTTACCTCCCCCTTTGTACTATCCCTTCTCCAGTGAACACTGGGGAATGGACTGAGGGCTCCCTGGAGGGCGTGTGAAGCTGTAGCTTCCTGGTGAAGCAAACAGGCCTCTCCTTCCCAACTGACAGTCCAACAAGTTCTGACTTCTCTTGGCTCTTTTCTTTTAATAACTAGCTAATGACGGTGACATGGGCAGCTAACAATTTATCTGTCGTCGTGCTTTTGGGCTGCTATAACAATACAATAGAGTGGCTGGATTTTAAAGAACTGAAACTTATTATCGTTCTGAAGGCTGGGAAGCCTAAGACCAAAGCACTAGGAAATCCAGTGTCTGGTGAGAGCCCACTTCCTGCTTCTTGCCAGCTTCTCCCTGTGTCCTCACCTGGTGGGAGAGGCTCGGGAGCTCTCTGGAGTCTCTTCCTAAGGACACTGATCCCATTCATGAGGGCTCTGCTCTCACAGTTCAATCGTCTTCAAAGGGCTTCACCTCCTAGTACCATCACATTGAGGGCTAGGGTAGCAACATGAATTTGGGGGGAGACACAAACATTCAGACTATAAATAATAATGCTAGCAAATTAGAATTTTTATTGAGGAAATCTAAATACAGTAGATTTTTCTGTTTTTATTATTGTTACTATTATTTTGGAAAGAAGAATTGTCCCAATAGTCCAAGGATCTGGGTTCCATTTTGTCTCTGGTAGTCCTTGTGCCACCACTGCTGCATTCACAAATGTGACAGTCCGGGGATCCTAAAGCAAGGCTGGAATGTGGTGCCAACCACAATGGTAGCATCCTAGCATTGTATGGTACAGTGGGGCCTTGTCTTACGAGTTTAATTCGTTCCGAGACCGAGCTCATTAAGGAGCTCGTTAATTCAAATTACTCTGTCAACTCAATGCAAAAAATCGGCTGAGAGACAGCTGGTATCTCAAAAAACTCGTTAGTCGGGACACTCATAAGTCAAGGCCCCGCTGTACTTTTTTTTTTCTTTTTTTTTTTTTTTGTATAGTACTTCTTAGTTTGAGGCTTAGTTCATAACAACCCTGCAAGTTTAGTATTAGCCCCATTTGAAACACCCTCACACCCTCTACACAACTCCAACTGGTTCTACTTCTGGCAATGACATTTTGGATAAATGTGGGCATTGAGCACTACCTATTTTCAAAGGAGTAACACTGACTCACTAAGTACGAAGCAACCCTAGATAAAGCATGTTCTTTGCATATCTCCTCTCCCACCCAGGCCTCCCTCCCACCCAAATCCATGCTGCCAGCAACCAAGAGAAAGTCCACAAATTAAAGGTGATAGATCCTCCCTTCCCCCAACTGATGGGTGGAGTATGACGTAACCAGCAGCCCAGAAATACCTGAGTGCCTAACCATGTACCTTATATGGACTATACATTGAACCACCAATCAGCACCTCCCAAATACCCTAAGCCCTTGTCCCTAAGTACCTGAGTGCCTAACTATCTACACTAATAAAAGAGAAACATGGTAATTGGCGTACGACCGCTACCCTTCCCATTGGCTAATCAGGGAGATATGCAAATTAACTGACAGCCAAGATGGCGGCCGGCAGCCAGGCAGCTTAAAGCGAACATGAGGCTTGCTTCCTTCATTGAAGGAGGAAGCCAACGTTCCC